GAACAAGAGCTTCACTGATGTGATGGAGTACAGTCCAGACACTGGGAACTGGTACATTCCTGGACTCTGGAATGGAAACCCACCAATGGCACCAGTTAATGCAGGCTACAGTGAGGCTGTATATGAGCTCAAGAAACACATCATCCAACTGCTGGGAAACTGTGAGTCATCTGCTAATAATATCTCTGAGTTTAAAGAGTGGGTGATAAGTCTGTGGACTGGAGTAAAGCATGAAAACTTCATCTTCAGCTTCAGAAACAGCCTCGTAGCTGATGCATACATGAGACTCTGCACAGAATTCAACAAATGGGAGTGGGAATTCAAAAAAGAAATATACACCTGGGTAACAAACGCAGAAACAAGAATTTCCAATTTTGGTACAATTGCAGCAAAATCTGAATCTTCTGACATGAGAGAATTTCTCACATGTTTGAAAAGTGAAGCCTCCACAGTGCTGTCTACATGGGAGACAAGACTTCTAGAAAATTTGACACAGTATTTCGAGCAAACAGAGGGTCATGTTTATCTTGTAGAAGGATACAGAGAGGAATTCTCAAATAGTGCAAAGTGCCTTCGGCGTGAAATGGAGAGATCTGTATTTAATCAGCTCACAGCAGCAGCAGAAAACAGAGAGGGAATGATAGAAATTGATAAAATCAAAGAAAATCATGCACAAGAGATTGAAAAGGCAGTCCATGTGTTAATAGATACATGCAGAAAGAAAAAAGCCCAGATGACAGACAAAGAGCTGGAAAAAGAGTTTGATAAGATGTGGAAAGAAACTCTGAAGAAACTTTCTTTTTCTGAACAAAAGATCACAAATGTCTTCACCAGCGTATCTCACTACCTGAGAATCAATCTGTCACACAAGGGGAGTCATGCATGTAAATTATTATTTCAAAAAAGTCTGCAGGATTGTGGAAGAGAGCCTTTCAAATATACAAGTGAGAACCTACTTCACAAAGCTACACATGCAATGGGCAGAGTGGCTAAGTGGTTCAACATTCAAGATCACATAATGGCTGTACAAAAACTCGCTGACAGCATCATAGATGTTTGCACTCAGTTTGTGACAGAAAAAGTGAAAAGAAAAAAAAATTACTCTGACACTTATATCCAGGAGATTCTACACAAGATTGATGAAAAACTACAAAATAATCAAGATGTTCAGACAGACATTAAGTTTGAAGTTTCCCTGAAACAGCACATCTGTGGATTTGCAGCCAGAGAGTTTCAGAACATGCATGAAGATTTCATCCAAGAAAATGATCCCTACAGATGTCTGACGAAAAACATGAAAAAGTTTCGTGATGATTTCATTGATGTGTACCATGAAAGAGACCAGTGTCAGAAGAAGGCAGAAGAATTCACCAACAAGTGTTTGAAGCCTGCTGTTGAAGACTTTATCAGTTTGTTCCTGGGACCTGATATCACTGGTGAAATGCTGACATGTGAGCAGTTCAGCAATCGAATGTCCTTCCAGTATTCAGTTTTACTGGATTTACTTTCAAAGGATGATTTTAAAAACTATGTGAGCTATATTGACTCATATGAGAAGTATGTCAAGACATGGATACTCAACAAAATAGTGGAGCGTTTTTCAACTAAGTCCACAATATCTGAGTTTGAGGACCGACATCTTAATTCATGTATCAAAAGCATAAATGATGCCATCAACAAAGCCAAGAAAGAAAAGAGTGATGAACTGAAGACATTTATTGAAGATATTTGTAAAGAACTTCGTGATAAACTGGTCATTTCCCAGGATGCTCTTGGTGCTTTCATGATGCTGAACAATGCTGACAAGGAACAGTTTGCTGACTGGCTCATGACGTCTGTGAATGAGATGGAACAAGATCTTAAAATGAAGTTTAAAAATGTAAACATTGAAATGAAACTACAGCATCTCCATGTGCAGCCCCAGAATGAGCTTTTCAACAAACTGGTTGGTTGTGGCAAACAGTGTCCATTCTGCAAAGCTCCCTGTGATGCTGGAGGAGAAGGTCATACTGAGCACTTTGCTTCACTGCATCGGCCAGAGGGTCTGGGTAACTACAGGTGGCTAGAAACACAAAAACTTGTCACTGACATATGCTCCTCTCTCATTGTCAGTGACAAGCGTTTTCGCTGCAGTGCCACAAACCAGGAATGGCACCCGTACAAGAGTTACAAGGAAATTTACCCAGACTGGAAAATCCCTCCAGATGTGAGCCTTGAGGCATCTGACTACTGGAAATTTATAATGGAAAAGTACAACAATGATTTTGCCAAAGAATATAAAGCAGAACCTGCTGATATTCCTGAAGCTTGGAGAGGAATTACAAAAGAGCAGGCAGAAAAAAGTCTCAAAGAATCATTTAACATCAAGTAACAACTTGCAGTTCTCCACTTTATATGTACGTAAGAAAACATCACCGATATTATTTTAGCGGTATTAAAGAAAACTAAACTAAAAAAGTATTTTATTAGGCAAAATTAAGATACTGTTAGTGCAAAATAAGACAATTATTGGTCACATTAGTCACGTTACCTGAGTTTGCATTCAATGTAAAATAATCTGACCTCAAAAATGATCTTTTTCTTTTTTGTTTTTTTTTTTACATATTGTTTACATATTCTCAGGCCTAATTCTGAGAATCTATATGCACTAATGATTTTTTTGAATGATCAAAGAGATATGTGAGCATTTATTGTTTCACTTTGTTTCTTGTCACATGCCACATTTTGTTATGGAAAATCAGATTAAATGTGTTTCTGTGAGAAATCTGGTGTCAAGTATTGACACATTAAATTTTAAAAGATCAGAAAAGGTTGTTTTTTCTTAAAATTAATTTCAGTATGTGGTAATCTTGCTCTAAATTTAAGATTTGCCTTTCTTTCATGGCACATCTGAGCTCACATATTGACACTTTTGAAATTACATAGAGGATCACTAATTTTATATCTGGTAAAGTCCACAAATCAAGTTAATTTTTTGCTGTTACTGTGGTGGATTTTTTGGATGACATGTATATCTATATAACTATATATCTATCTGCACTCAACATATATATTGTAACTTTCACATAGACTCTTAATTACAGGACATTTTGCTTCACCATGGTTTATTAAGGTGGTACAGTAACAGGGCAACTAATGAAATAGGAGAGTTCTCCTGAATAACTCACTCTACTGCCGAAGTAACTGGTCGCTCTGCTGTCTGCGCTTAAGGCTGTACACCCCAGGGATTTGCTTTGCTTGCTTTCCGCTATGTAATTCTCTTGCTAATTGTCTGTATGCATTTTCTTGCTGTTCATATGATTCAGTGTATTAAACTCTGTTCCAAGAATTCTACTCTTTTCCAGAAGATCTTTGTGAGTGCATTGATTTTAATTGGATCTAAAAAAAAAAGTTGGATCAACTTACATCACTGAATAATAACCTTAGTGATATGTATGCATCACTGTCTTTGTGTCTGTTGACTGTTACGTAGCATGACAATGGATATCAAAATTACTTCAGTAGTGTGTATGAAGCATTGTTTTGATTTGTTTTATAGTTTTGGAGTAAGAATTTTAAAAAGAGGCAAAATTATGATTAAGAGGGAAGAATGTTTATTTTGTGTTAGGTTGATTTTGATAATAGTTGTCATTATTGTACCTCAATTTGTAAACCTTAACCCGGTCTGTTGAATGGTGGGCGAGGCAATGGGTTATAGTGTTTAACTGCAGGCACATCCTATATGAAGGTTTTGTGGGGATGTTTACTTCTTGCCATTTATGGCCTCACCTGTGCTTGTGTATGGTTAGACCGTTAGAGGGGTTAAGCCATATACAGGGTGAGAGGAGATGACCCTTTTGTGAGCAGGAAGTCACACAAACACATTCACACACACACACATTCACGTACATGCATACACACACTCAGTGCCATAGTTTTATGACGCACCACGGGGGCTTACAATGGGTGTTTGTGTAAACTGTAACTGTGTGTCACAGAATAAAAGGCTGCAGGGGAGGCTGGTTCTTTGAAGTTGTCTGAGGTTGAGGGCAGAGGTGGTGCCGACCAGGCTCCCCTTGCTAGCAAGTAAAAACCGGTTAAGCTGTTTGTCTTGCTTTCTTCATGGGTGATAAGTCTTTGAACCAGTGGGGCCTGTGAGATGCAGACCCAACATTTTGTACCCAATAAAATACAAAAACAAGACTGGCGTGGAAATTTAATTAACAAAGTTTGCAGACACGGCTAATCAACACCTTTATTAACATGTGCATGGAAGTGCAAACAAACAATACCCATAACAACGGCTATCTCCTCTTTTCCCAGACCCTGTGTTCTCCACTACAGCATGTTCAAGAACAGTTATCGCAATTCCTCTCTATCCACAGGTTTCTGTAAGAGCTTACATAGGCTGCCATGACAGACCACTACTTCCGTTGTCCGGTTTTATACTTCTGGTTACTCAAAGCGAGACCCAGCATTCAGTCGTTGCTAACAACAAAATCAGTTACTTTGTGCTGTAATAAGTGGCTGTACCTGTTCGAGGATGAGCTCGGGTTCAACGTGTGCTGTTGTCGGCTGCCACAATAATTCAAGAAAATTGAAAAACGCGTTAGAAACATTTTGCCTTGAGCATCAACAACTTAGAAAGGCCAGTCCATGCCCACCGCCCTACGCACTGCACTCTATGCCGCGGAAGGAGGATGGGAAACTAGCGTGGCTGGCAGCTTTAAGACTCAAACACCCTCCAAAGAGAGTTTATGTTTGCTCCTTTCATTTTATCGATAAAAAGCCCACAGAGCTACACCCCGACCCGGAGCTTTATCTGGGCTATGACCGACCCCCACCAAAGAAAAGAAGAAAGCTCACTCGGACCACTTTGAGTGTGACAGCTTCCAGTAATACGAACAAAAACACAGAATCTGTACCCGGTAAGTGAAAGTGTAAATGTGGTTTGCCACCGTTTCTCATTTTAATCACGCAATTCTTTACTTTTACTAAATAATAGCCTATGGTGAATGGCGTTAGTATCAGCACTAGCTGGTTATTAGCAGCAAAGTCTCAATTTTAACAAAGGTTTACACCCGTAGTTAGTAATTAACACCAGCCACATGCTGCCAAAACTATATATGGCTTCATTTAATTGTCCAGAGAGATTAGCCCCAAGGGCTGTAAAAATCTTAGGTTTGTGTTTTCTCAGGTTTGTGTTTATAAAGAACATGTTTTTTCAAGTCGAGAAAACTCAAGTAAAAACGTTAAAGGCAACCTTTGCAAAAATACCAACATGTGTGACTTTTTTTTAGAATGAAAACTAAAATCTAATCACAGTAATTGAATAAAATTGTCACTAATTTTTAGGGGACTTAGGAACATTTTATGTTGACATTTATGATTTTGCATTTGTGTGAAAGAATGTAGAATGAGAATTTTCACTCAAAAATATAATAAGCTAAGTGACACTTTACGGTTTCTCTTATGCTAACAGTTTGAGTGTACATCTGATCATATTTTTGTCTTATTCAGATTCCACAGTGTTACGTTCAGTGGAATTAGACCAGGCCAGCATCTCCACACAACCCCCTGAGCCACATCTGCACTCAGTCCACACACAGTGGGAGGATCCTTCGCAACAAGACCATCAATACTGCAACAGGTCTCGCAGAAAAGATGTGCAGGATAAGATGACTGAGTGTGATGAAGTTGCATATTTCATTCTTCAAAATGATGCAGATGCTTTTCTGTACACTGGGATAGCCTTAGAACATTTAACACACTTGTGTCGACACTGGAAGGATATGACAACAATGAATTTACAATGCCTGTCCGAGATCAAGTCCTTATGACACTTATGAAACTAAAGAGTAACCGTGTAATAGGTGACTTAAGCCGCCAGTTTCATATATCACAAAGCATGGCCAGCAAGATCATCTCACACTGGTTAGACAAGCTGGAGGAAGTTCTCCGACCATTAATTCAATGGCTGCCAAAAGAAACTATTCAAGTAACTATGCCTGAAGCCTTCAAGAAGAACTTTCCAAATACTACATGCATTATAGACTGCAGTGAGACCCTTTTACAGAAACCCAGAAAT